CCACGCGGGGGGCGCGTGCCCCCCAGGGAAGGCCCGTGGTAGCCGTTGGCCACATCATGGGACCTCCCCAAGTCTTTGTGATGATGACGCATGCCAACGGGACCAAACTATGTCCCTGTGGCCACCACAGACGAGCTGTAGTAGCCATTGGGCCATGTCATGGGTCCTCCCCGAGTCTTTGTGTCCACCTTCAGCCCTGAAGCCATCTCTTTTTGCCCACGTGGCTTCTCCACAAGCCAATGGGAGGCACCAGTGGGGCAAACCCACGTCCCCGTTGGCCACATCGTGGGCCCTCTCCAAGTCTTTATCTTGGCAATGGGCACCAGTGGGGCCAAACCACATCTCTGTGGCCACCACAGAAGGCCTGTAATAGCCATTGGCCATGTCATAGACCCTTCCCAAGTCTTTGCATTGGTGATGGGCACAAAAAGGTTAAACCACATCCCCATGGCTACCGCAGAAAGGCTGCGGCCGTTGGCCACATCATGAGTCCTCCTCAAGTCTTTGTGTCCACATTTGTCCCCAAGTCCCGTGGCTTTTTGCCTACACAGGTTCCGCACAAGCCAACATTGGGCATTGATGGAGCCAAACCATGTCCCCATGGCCACCACAGAAGGGCCATAGAGTCATTGGCCACATCATGGGTTCTCCCCAAGGCTTTACATTGACGGTGAGCACCAATGAGGCCAAACTACATCCCCGTGGCCACCACGTAAGGGCTGTAGCAGCCACTGGCCATGTCATGGCTCCTCCTGAAGTCTTTGTGTTGACGATGGGTGCCGATAGGGCCAACCCACAGGCACGCGGCCATCACAGAACAGCTGTAATAACCACTGCCCACATCGTGGATCCTCCTGAAGTCTTTATATTGATGATGGGCGCCAATGGGGCCAAACCACGTCCCCGTGGCCACCACAGAAGGGCTGTAGCAGCTATTGACTATGTCATGGATCCTCCATGAATCCTTCTGTTGACAATGGGCATCAGCAGAGCAAACCACAGCCCCATGGCCACCACAGAAGGGCTGCAGCAGCCGTTGACCATGTTATGGATCCTCCATAAATCTTTCTGTTGATGAGGGGCACCAGCAGGTCAAACCATGTCCCTGTGGCCACCACAGAAGCACCATCATCTGCTCCACCACCTCCTTCCCTCTCCTTGGGGAGGCCCTCAGAGACCCCGGTGCATCGCCAGGGCCGGACCGGCTCCGCGCTCAGCTGCATGGAGGCGGCGGTGGCGGGCAAGGTGAGAGCCGCGGCTGAAGGTCTTGGGGCAATCGGGACAGCGGTAGGGCTTCTCACCAGTGTGGGTGCGCTGGTGCTCGAGCAGACGGGCGCTCTCACCGAAGCATTTGCCGCACTGGCCGCACTGGAATGGCTTCTCGCCGCTGTGG